TTCCCCCCCCCCCCCCCCATTCCCCTGCTGTTGCAAAATGTAACCATGTCTTTTGTTTCTCAGCAGAGAGGTAGGGATCTATTCTCTCCCCTCCACACACCCCACCCCAAGCCGAACGGAATCACGAATTTGGGACCCATCCCCGCCGCAAACCGGGCTGGACGTGGTCAATTACAACAGCGGGCAACCGGGAGCGGCGCCACACAAACGCCGAGGTTCTGGAGCGACAGCGAACTGGCCGTCCAAACTGGAAATTTTGTTTCTCCCACTCCCCAGTGCGTGCCGTTACAGGGGGATCCGCACGCAGCACCGGAAAGTGACTTTGTCATTAAAGCACATGCCAGAGACTTCGGAGTGACCCATTTCTCGCCTCCGTTTTTGCCGGGCGAACTTTTCTGAGGAGTTCGTCACACGAGAAAGGAACAAAAAAAAAACGAAAACAAAAAGAGCCTTTTAGCCGATCTCCCGAATTGTTAGTGCAATGTTGAGTGTGCGTCAGGCATCATGTGGCTGTGTTTATATTGCACCTGACACATCCCAGCATACAGGATAAAATGTCAGCTTGTTGTTACCACTGTGACATTTTGGATGGAAACTGGACTGGTAAACCTATTCAACAAGGGAGGGGGGTGGTTTCTGAAGTTTTGCAATGCAGCAGTGAGTCATGGAAACTAATTCAGAAGCTCGCTTTCTTGGTTTGCCAGGGTAGAAATTATTAGCTTCTGATTCACGTAGAGTCACTGGACTCCCATACATTAAATCTTGTCTGTCTCTCCACAGATGTTGCCAGACCTGCTCGAGTTTCTTCAGCCCTGGCTGTTTTTGCTTTGGAAATGATTAGCATGCCGCATTGCGTGATTCAGACTTTTGGTCACGGCACTAAAAATTACAACAAGAACTTGCATTTGTGTGGCATCTTTAACATTATACAATGGTCCCCAGCTATGTGGCAGGAATATTACAGAGCAAGATTTAACACCAGGTGAGGCAACAATTGAATAGCCAAAAGTGAGGAGATTGCAGAGAAAGGGGGATTTGGAAACAAGAATGAGGATGCTTTTTCTACCTTAACAACAACAACAACTTTTTAAATCACAAGATGAGGGTGTCACTGGCTATTCAGCATTTTATTGCCCCATCCCTAATTGCCCAGAGGGCAGTTGAGTCAAGCACACTGCTGTGGGTCTGGAGTCACATGTAGGCCAGACCAGGTAAGGATGGCAGTTTCTTTCCCGAAAGGACATTAATGAACCAGATGGGCTTTTCTGACAATTGGCAATGGATTCACGGTCATCATTAGACTCTTAATTCCAGATATTTATTGAATTCAAATTCCACCATCTGCTGTGGCGGGATTCAAACCTGAGTCCCCAGAATATTATCTGGGTCAGTGGATTAATAGTCCAGTGATAATACCACAAGGCTATCACCTCCCCTAACTTGCACTTACGTATCACCTTAAATGCAGCAAAAGTCCATGACCTAGTGATAAGGTTCAAGCTGCCAGGAGATGAGCCCACAAATACCAACATTGTCAACAAAGAAAAACAGTAAGTTTCAAAAAGTGGGATTTGTGCAGACCTTCAAAAATGTAGGAACTCCAGGACTGCAGTTATAAGCCGGTGGAATATGAAATCAGGCAAACACATTGGCTTTGTAATCAAAGTTGCTCAAGTTTTTTGATGTTTTTCCGAAGGGAAAGAAAAATATTAACATATGAGGATTTGAAGGAGGAAATACAAATGCTGACAACACAAATATACCATAAGCCTGGCAACAGTCGTTGGGTTTTATTTTAAAATGCATAATAAATGATACACAGTGATTATTTTTAAACACATGCACACATCACCGTCGATGGATTGTAGGAACTGCCGATGCTGGAGTTTGAGATAGCAAGGTGTGGAGCTGGAGGAACACAGCAGGCCAGGCAGCATCAGAGGAGCAGGAAAGCTGACGTTTCAGGTCTGGACTCTTCTTCAGAAATGGATGGATATATTTTCCTCTTAGTGATCAAATAAGTGACATTTTGATTTTGAACTTTGGTAATTTTCCCAAAATTAATCAATATTCTGCATCGAGCCCCTACCAAAGTTCAATTTACGAAGGCTTTGTCACCTCTCAGGATCCACTTCACAGAGTCTCTGTAAGTCATATGAGTCCAACCATTCCACAGAGACCCTCTCTCATCCTGCAATAGTACTGTTTATACAGGATTGTCATTCCTATTCCCTGTCAATTCAGTCTGATACATTTCTCAGTCCCCTTCAATTCAACTTCACGTTCTCCACCCCTATGCTGGCAATGCCTCTCCCCGGTTGATCTGGCATTTTCCATACCCTCCACACTTTCAGCGTGTCTTAACACTCTCCTCCATCTCATCCCTTCAGCTAAGTTTCAATTGAATGTAACATTGCATAAGTGGAATCCTCTGCTCAATGCCCCTCCCTTGCCTATCTTTCATATTTGTTCATGGAATGTGGGCACTGTTGGATGGGCCAGGACTTGACACCTGTCTATAATTTCCCCTTGACCTAAGTGATTTGCTGGGGCCAGTTCAAAGGGCAGTTGAGAGTCAATCACGTTACTGTGGGTCTGGAGTCATATGTAGTCCACATCAGGTTTGGATGGCAGATTTTCTTCCCTAAAGGGCATTAGTGAACCAGGTAGGTTTTTACGACAATTGACAATGGTTACATGGCCTACCATTAGGCCAGCAATTAATTCTAGGTTTTATTGAATTCAAATTTCACCATCTGCCACGGTGGGATTGGAACCAATGTCCCCAGAGCATTAGCCAGGGATTCTGGATTACTAGTTAAGTGCCCAATACCACTATTGCCATTATGAGGACTTCTTGTCCTTATAAACATTACTCCACTACATATCTGCTGAATTTTGAAAACCAAAATGTTGATGGAAACCATCCATACTGACTCTAGGCATTGAGCTACCATAGTGAGAATGGTCATGGCTAGGCAGGTTCAGGACAAGCCAGGACCCCTGGGGAGTCATCGTGCACTCTGAGGTCCTCAATATAAATTCAGTATCCAATTGTGAAGAGACACAAACAGACTGAATAGCAGATAATCACCTCAAACTCAGCAAGTGAGGAGGCTATCACTTGCCTTCACTTGGTAAATAAAAATAAATTTGTGCAGGCCCTCCCATTTCACTGAAGTCCCTCTTATTGATATGTCCTGTCTGTACTTGTGAGTACTGTCTCAATCTTCACTGATTTCAAAGTCTTGATCTTAACATCCTGCTTGGTGTGCCCAATATTTGATGTTTTCCTCCCAATCTAGATACTGTGGCTTTCAAGCTGTTCCCATTTCAGCATTCATTTTGCATTTCTGTTTTCTGTCCATTCTCGTCCTGCCCTTCCCTCCCCCATTCACTTTGCCCAGCTGTCCCCCTTCCTTCTGCCTTCTATTCATCCCTCTCTGCTGCTTCTACATTACTCTAAATCTTACCCCAACTCTTCTCCTTCCTTTTCCCTCAATTACCTCACACTCAGGTCCTACTGCCAGTGGATATGTTTTCAACCTCTGCATACTGTGGGAAGAAATTCTTGTGTGACAAAGAACTTTTGAACCAGAGAGGAGTCCAGTGTGAGTTGCATTGGCTGACCTGCCAAAATATCAATGTTTTTAATGTTTAAAACTTTCAACTCTTCAAATTTCCTGCAGACTAGTTTCAAGGAAGGAGCACGCTTTTTACTAAATAATGGTAGAAGATTTCAGAGGAATAAATCAATTTTAAATAGTACAATGTGAAATGCCTGTATATTGTTGTAATTTTGGATACTGCACTCCCCTTACTTCCCCAAGAAAGTTGGTTAGCTCATTGGCTGGATGGCTGGTTTGCAATGCAGAATGATGCCAACAGCATGGGTTCAATTACTGGACCAGCTGAAGTTACAATAAAGGATTTTGCTTCTCAACCTCTCCTATCACCCTCAGGTTAAACTAATACCAGTCATCTCTCTAATGAGAGAGCATTCCTATGTTCCAACTGGATTACAGTGACTTTGCCTTTATATAATATAGCTAGTGTATGCTTGCATGATAAGGACAAACAATTACTTTCTTTTCCATGGTCATGTAGATTGAGAACTGTATGCTGAATCTGAAACTCAGGAATAAAACACAGTCTACCTTGTTCAGGCTATTGCTATTAACTAAAAGTTACAAATAAACGCCGTTTGATTTAAATAATTGTTTGCTAGTACTGAATTTGAGTATTACTGAAAAAAGACAGACTTTGTCAAAGCTTTTCATATGGTACTCATCAGGATAATTTTCAAGAATACCAATGTAAAGGGGAAACAACAGTTATACTGTCTGAGAGGAGATTGATGGATAGTCGGAAGCTGAACTCTAATTGGGAGAGGCATTGTTATGGAGAATATAACAGTTGGATGATGACTGAGAGTTAACTACTCTGATTTGTTCAAATTTTAAACCAAACAGGTTGACCCTGATTTCTCAAGGTAATACCTTGAGAAATGAAGTAGAGAATGGCTGTCTCCCATTATGTTGAGTTGAAATGGTCTTTCTGTCTGCAACGAATAGGGCTCTGTCTCTTACTATATGTAGTTTCCAGCCTGTGCAAGTGCACCAGACTGTAAGTCAGACTGACAATCCTAAATTAGTTGTTAGCATAATTTATGACACACTTAAAATTATCCAGCTAATGTTGTCCAATCACAGAATTGCTTCTAATGTTTGGACAGTGTTGCATGCAAAAGCTGATTGGCCATCGTCAGCACCTTGCTTGTTGCAAAAGGCTAAAGGGATAACCATTATACTGCTTTGATGTGCCTTATTTCAACATCAAGCTTACACAGTGGACAAAGA